CCCCTCCCGCGGCCCCTCCCTCTCCCTCTCCCTCTCCCCCTGCCCCTTCCCCTTCCGCCCCTGACGGTGGGCAGGGGGGGCGCCGCATCCTCCCCCCCCGAGCCCGAGGATGACGCTAGCGATCGCCGCCGTGCCAGGGGCTCCATCAACCAGCCTTGGAGTGCCCGTGCTTCTGTTTGTCGTTTTTTTTATGTTCAAGTTGGGATTGCTGGTGTTGGTGGAGTGTGGTGCCCTTGCAGGGTTCAACAGCAGCGAGGTGCTGAATACTCACAGAGGAGGTGCATAGACATTTTCCCACAACGACAGTTGGCTGATATTTTGTACTCCTATGCAGGAGAGGTGGTGAGGGCATGCACAGAACGGAAACGAGAGGACGATGGTGAGGGTAGGAGAAAGGTAGTGGATGGGAATGGGGACGACGGGCGGGGTAGAACGAACGACCCACGATTTCAGATGTGTGTAGTCGCACGGCCCTAGAACAGGTTCTCAAACTCGATCCTTTGAAAAGCGTACGAGGTGTAGGTAGATGCATACTTCTGAGAAGACTCTCACGGAAAAGACATTCAATCAAACGGATACTATCTCGAAAGAACAGCGGCCTTGTTTGTCAAGTTAAATACGCTTAAATAAAAGGCTGCGTCCTTGGCTTGCTACTTACTGCCCAGCTGCGGCGGCACAACCATAAGACGCACCCTAAAGCACATGAACCCACAACAACGCAGGTAACGGAACATTTGGAAAATCTAACTTCACGCGCCTTGTTATCCTCTCTTATTTCGTGTTTAGGCCCAGGGATACCGCGACACGTGACGGAACATAGGTGAGTGCAGGCCTCGATGGGCCTAACAGCAGCAGAAACACGTGCGGCGAGGTTTCCACCGTGGCCATCCAGCAGATGTGGCGGAGCAACCGTACAATAGTTGTCCATGTGAGCGGGCGTAATGCAGTATGCAGCAGTCTCACCAAGCCTTCGCAGCACTCAAACCGAACTATACACAACTCTGTAGGCGCCGCACCTGGTGTGCATGTACAGATAGCGCCCGTTCTTAACCCTCCTAGTCCCTCCGCAAAAACAACGCCGAACAATGTGTTGTTAGCCATTGGTCGAGGGGCTATAGTCCCCTCGAAGAGTCTGAGCTCCTTGCCAGACAAAGGGTGACTTGGATTCAGTATGAAAAGTGTCCCCAAAACACGTGGCGACACTTTTTATACTGAAGCCAAGTCAGCAAGTTTTTCCACTACCTACAGTTTTGCGAACTGGGGGGGCACGCGGGTTGGGGGATGTATACAGCAAGTCAGAAGCCCACGAGAGCATCACACAGCACATGCATCACACAGCGCACCACCTCAGCCAAGCATGATAAACCAAGGGTTCTCACGTACGTACGTTGCACACAGCGGAGCCTAGGGTGACTACAGTGCGGTAAATAGGCCTTTGAGTGCTGTGTTCGAAAGTGTCCCCAAAGTGTCCCCATTCGGGCTTTCAGTACTAGGAGGGTTAAGAACGTCTAGGTTTGGCCGAGGCTGCGGTTCTTATTTGTTCTTAGTTCTTCTTGGGGTATATTGGGTGTCATTAGGGAATCTTATGCGGCGTGGCTCACAAGGTGATCAAGTTCCCATCTTTGAGAAGTCTCGTGTTGAGCATGAATTTCTTTGTGCAGCGCCATCTGTCTGTGCACAGGTGTCAGTAAATGAATCCACGTGCTGCAGCGAGGCTGTTGGCTGTCTTTGAACCAGAAAAAACAGTCGGTGGAGCGACTCTCCCGCTGCGTTCACCTCACATTTGATGTGAGGACTCCTATTATACATTGCATCCCCCCTGAGGAGCCGCTTCATCGACTTTGGGTACTCCTTCTTCTTGCAACTACTCTCACGCTGCCGTGCCTGTCTGACCTGTCTCTCCTTTCTACAGAAGCACAACCTTCAAAACACTAAAGAAAAAAAAATGCACAAGATATACAGCGCAGTCCGCGGCCAAAGTGAGGTTACCTCCCTAGTCTCATGTAACAACCCCACCAGCACACTAATGATGGTGGCCTCTATCGAAGGCATAGGGACTGTGGGTGTTTCCACCATGGCGACTCTGTGTAAACAGCATCAACAGGAGTAGAATAGGCCCTGTCCCGTTGTACGCATGTGTGCGTGAGGCGGTAGCGTCAAATATACAAATTAAAAGACGGGCCACAATCAACACACGATGTTGCGTGAAAATGTTTCACGTATGGTGTGGTTTCCTCGCCAAAGAGGCACCAGCACGACTACACTATCACTGCTGTACCGCAGCACCAAGTGAAACACACAATACTTTACCGAGGGGATACAAAACAGGACCACACGCTGCTACAAGTGCGGACAAGCAGCGTGTCGTGCTCTTTCCCCGCAAACCTTCGTCGTCTGCCGCGAAAACATCGATCACGCCGGATAGGCTTTTCGGAGAGCAAGTAGAGGCTGCTGTGTACACGTAAAAAACGAGACAAAAGCAGCACGCGGTTGAAGTAGAGACACAACAGCAGCTACATACCTGGCGACAAACACTGCTACAGCCGCGAACGCCCGAAAAATTCATGTAACATGCCCATCCCCGGCGGCCAAGCCAGAGCACCGCCACCGCACGCCCCGTACACACACCACGCGGTACAAATTATCGCCTACAAAAAAAAAAGGCTAAAAAACGATGCGTGCCGATGTGCTGCCATCCACTTACCGCGGCCACGTCCTCGCCCGCCGCGCGGCCCTCGTGCGGAAGAGGCCGCCCTTCCAGACATGTTGGCACCAGAACAACTCCTTCTTGTTGTGTGTGCAGCAGGAGGAGAAAGAGTTGGTCCTGAAGACGCAAGTATAAATAACTTGTCGTATGATGTTGTCGATGCGGCTGATGGTCTGGTGTGTGTGAACGTCACAGCATCCCGAAGGGTTAGTTGGCCAAAAGGCTTTTCGCTCGGTGGAGAGGCGACGCCAACGACGAGGCTGTCGAGACTGTCCTATTTACCACTACTGCTGTTTTTCCGAGTGATGATGGGTTTTCCGTTCTCTTCTCTCTGCTATCTCTGATGATGACTATCTCTCTTCGAAAGGAGCTGGTGAGATGGCTCGTCGGGAAGCCTCTACGAGCTGTCCGAAGATGTTGGCCAATCAACAACGTCCGAACCATGTGCCGGTTCGGAATACACTTCCGGCTTCCGGCTCCGCCTATGAAAGAGTATCTGCTCCTTGCTGCTGCTCTCGGCTGACCCAGGACTCCAAAAAATCCCCACAGGTACGAACAAACTCTTTATGTGTGGTCGGTCGAAGATGTACTGGTCTCTGTACAAGCCAACAAGCCACCATGCACAACACACTACTACTGCTGCCCTTCACCTGTCGCCGTCCTTCCACGTCTACCTGTCCTTGGCACATGCTGCCACTCGATGCGACAACATCAGGGAACATCACGGACACAGGGAGTACTTTCCGTACCCACGTACACCGTCAAAATGTCAGAACAACTAAATCTCATTCCTCCTGTCGTGCCAAACATAAATGATGTATTATGCACGAAATGATCAACTCTTCTTTACATATGGTCTGTGCTGCCCACTGAGGGGAGAGATATAACCATACTCCCTGCCTACACACGGGCGAGAGAGATGACCAACCCATTACATTTGAACACACGAACACCCACATATCGGTGATGGAACCTCAACCACACGCCTTACCTACGACCGACCACGTCAGGAGGCAATGATGAAAGAATGTTCTCCCGTGCCCTTCGCACATTTATGGGCATGAAATTACACAAAACTGGGAGACC